CTCTCCTCCACATCACGAGTAGACACGCACCTTATTGCTGATTGGCTACAAGTTTGTTTTGCGTTTCGGCCCGAATCAGTTTTCTAAAGTGTTTTTGAAAAATCACTTACTCTGCCTTTAATGTTATCTAATGTTAAAATTCAATAGATTTTAACTTTGTGGTTCGACGATGATTTATGTCAGCTGTTTGTTTGTTGTGTGTTAGCGCTAGCATCACACTACCATCTGCAGTTGATGGGGGAAATTAGAAGGTAATTATATATTGATATAGTTATTAAATAGCAAAATGTTGTTGTTTTTTCACAACGCTTAATATAAAGAACAAACAATCTATCTTCTGTTTGTCCTAGGTGTTAGCGATCTGATTTCTATGGAAGAATTGACGTTCGAGCAATTTGAATTATTCGGTAAGACTGATCGTACGTTTACTACTTTTTCTGATATTCATAGATGTTTTTAATTATGATTGATATATTATCTTTTATTTCCAGGGAGAGAGACAACCGATAACGGGAGTAGAGACGCAGACGGTGAGTATCAATATATTTATGTCTTATTGTTTATAGCTAAAATAAATTATATCATCTTTATCTTGTAACACCTCGTTTCTTTAAAGCTGTTACTCTGAGGGGTTCAACAGATTTTCAACATGTACTGATTAAAATACTCTTCACAACACAAATGATCTTTGTATCCCAATTTATTCTGCCGACAAGTGTATATATACACATACAGGTGCAAAAACCAACAAATAAACCATAATCAATTTAAATGCACTTTGTCTTTTAACTCAGTCAATGATTTGAAATAAACTTATCGTTCCATGTACAGTTGAAGTACGATAATTGATGAGTGATGAGATGACGTTTTAATCCACAAAGTTATTTGAGTGCGATGCAATGTTAGTATTCCTATAACCCACAGTATCGTTGGCGTTCGGCGTGTTGCCGTCCTGTGTGCCGCGTTGGATGAACCCACACCTCGTATCCAGAGGTGATTTAAGATGCATCCAGTCAATTACACACGAAGAAAGCAATCATTTGTAGAATAGACAAGTGTAGACATAGATAAATAAAGTCCTTTCTAAAAAGAAAGCAAATGGCTGACATCAGTAACTTCAATATACAGACGTTGTCAGGTAAATAAACCAAACCATAACAAGTGTATATATACACATACAGGTGCAAAAACCAACAAATAAACCATAATCAATTTAAATGCACTTTGTCTTTTAACTCAGTCAATGATTTGAAATAAACTTATCGTTCCATGTACAGTAGAAGTACGATAATTGATGAGTGATGAGATGACGTTTTAATCCACAAAGTTATTTGAGTGCGATGCAATGTTAGTAGTCCTATAACCCACAGAATCGTGGGCGTTCGGCGTGTTGCCGTCCTGTGTGCCGCGTTGGATGAACCCACACCTCGTATCCACAGGTGATTTAAGATGCATCCAATCAATTACACACGAAGAAAGCAATCATTTGTAGAATAGACAAGTGTAGACACAATCTCTTTAATTATTTTTACAGATCTGCCCATGGGAGTGGTGCAAGACAATATTATCGACCTGACTGAGGAGGACGAGGAGGAGGACGAACATAAACCCGGACCAAGCAACGCAAATACACAGAAGTGCCCGAGAGAGGCTGACGCGCCGTCGGTCGCCCCCGAGAGAAAGAAAAGACTAGTTGCGATCGTAACTCCGATCATAATGGTTGAAGACGCAGTTGACGGTAAGATTACCTGTCAACTAAGCAATATTTTTAACTTACATCGTAGATATGACTATGTTCTAGACGTCCGACTTTTAATTTCAACTCCTTTTGCTCTACAGACGGTGACCGAGAGCGTCTCAATAATGATCAACTTAGGGCCGAGACTCCGCTGAACGAATGGGAAACAGCCAGTTGGACCAGCGAATGTAGCGACGATTTACAGCCACTCGCTTTTCAAGAACCGGTTGAGGAAGAAGAACCTGAATTTCAAGAACCGGTTGAGGAAGAAGAAACTGAATCGTTGCCAGACTACCGACAGAATGACGATGTGAATGAAAGATCTGATGCTTTGAGCGAAGAGATGATTAACCGTCAGGATTCTTTGCATGAAGAGTTGATTAACAGACAGGACGCTTTTTTCAACAAACTTCTCAACAGGCAGGACTCTCTGCATGAAGAGCTGATTAACAGGCAGGCTGCTTTCTTCAACAAACTTATTAACCGAATGGACGCCCAGGACGTGAGGGGTCACGAACAATAAGGTAATTTAAATCAGTAGCATTAATCGTCAGAGAATCGTTTGCACAGCTTGCAAACAGGGGGGTGGCTGAAAATTTTGCTGTTGATCACGTTTACGTGAGCAATTGACGGTGAGACGTCAGGATGATGAGTAGTCTTTCTAGTCTAAACGATGCTCTACAGCCATGATAGATGACACGATGCGATTGTTTTTCAATATAATTTCATAATTTAGTTTTGTAACAGATTTTTCCTTGTTCTGATTTTTTCACCTTGTGTCTGAATTTAGTTTTGTTGCAGATTTTTCCATGTTCTGATTTTTTCACCTTGTGTCTGAATTTAGTTTTGTTTCAGATTTTTGTATTTCTGAATTTAGTTTTGTTACATATTTTTCCATGTTCTGATTTTACACTACATGTTTTAATAATTCTGTTAACGTGTTTGTTAACATCATTATAATTTTGTATTTTCAAATTGGTCACTTTTGTTGTTTCTAAATCAATTTAAAAATGGATGCTGAGAATTCGCATAGCTGTCATTCAGACCAATCTCTCTCAGACCTGTTACAGAACGCTATTGAAATGCACACAGAGACGTCCCATAACTTGTGCGACATATTACAACGATTGTTAGATCAGTATCCAAATTATAATACAGAAATGCCATTTAATATTGATCACAACCAAAATGCTTATGATTTGCAGCGATTAGAATCTGCAATAGAATAAAGTCTAAACGTTGATTTGGGCATTCTGTTGCAGACCGCGATAAATAGACACGACCAACGGTTCAGCCAAAACGTTGCACAGAACGGAGGTACGTTAACCGTTTCTGACCATATCACTGATCCGTCCGACAACACTATGCATTAGCCAGCACCCCCTACAGGTAATGTCAACGATGCTCCTTCCGGTAATAACAACGCTGAGCGACTGTCGACTTCCCGCTAAACAGTGGTAAACGGATATCACGTAACACCTACGCCCCGATTTAACAGTGTGGAATTGCGAAGGACTATGAATATGTGTGAAATAAGGTCTACGGATTTAGCATCCTATCACATATTATTACACGAAAAAATGGAGGAGATAGCATCGTTTTCTAGAACTATTGGCGGGGACTCTAGCGTGATTAATTTAACGATGAATGTGAAAGCTTGAAATCACCCGTTAACACCGTTTTAATGCCTGGTAATAATTACGACATTAATCTTTTCGATCAGTTAACGAGTTCGTTTGCCCATATAATCTTAAGGAAATTGTGTGTAAACTTATTTGGCTTGCTGTCCACTGATGAGGGGCTCGATGAAGCAGCTTCAACTCGAGCTCTGATATACCCCCAGGGGCTTGATATAGGATGATTACGAAGGGAAAGGTACCTAAGATGAAGGTGGAGTTTTGGGGAGGTGGAGGGATGCTGGAACAGCTGAGACTGTAGAGAGGTAAGCATCTGCTTATATACCCTGGCTGTTGATTGAAAGATTAGATGGGCTCGCTCCTCCCTAACTTACGTTAAGGAACTTAATTTATTGTACAACGACACGGTCGAGATCTAAGTAGTCATGGCCATGAACAGACAAGGACGAGGGGGTCAGAGGCGTAAACTAACAGAAGGCTAACCATGAAGGCTAAGGGTATAATGCTGAACACTAGAAATTCCCTAGCTGTCCGTTTAGATTCCCTGATTGTTCTGGTTAACGGTTATGTGACTTCTCACGACGATACACAATACATCCTGGCTTGTGCTGAAAACATCGTGAGGGATAAAAAGCATCTCACGCCGCACAATATCTAAGTCGACAAAAGGTTCAAAGTGCTATATAATAAGCGCAGACTTTTACCCGATTTCAACACTCTTCCTTATGGCTACTGATTCGATGATGCATAGAGGGGTATGGGATGCTTCAGAGTTTGACTTTAGATTCCAGCACCCTTTTTCTTGTGTGATACATGGGCCATCCAATAGTGGCAAGACCTATTTTGTAAAACGACTGATGGAAAATGGCCTAAATATGATTTCTAAAAAATTGAAAACATTGTTTATATTTACAACTGTTGCCAACCTCTGTATGATGACCTGCTTAAATTGTATGACATTAAATTTGTTGAAGGAATACCGACATCTCTGAATGATGATCATTTACTACCTCCCAACAAAGCTAATCTTCTGATTTTGGACGATATGATGAGCGAAGCTAAAGAAATGGTCAGGTTGAAAAAGTCTTCACGCAGTTTGTACATCGCCGTAATCTTAGCGCTATTTATATAGTACAAAATGTATACGCTCAAGGTAAATCAAGCAGAAGCATCAGCTTGAACACTAATTATTTAATTTAGTATAAAAAACCCCGGGACGCTAATCAGGTCATGGTATTAGCGAAGCAGATGTATCCGACCAATGCAAAATACTTTATGGAGTGTTATCAAGACGCTACGAGTCAGCCTTACGGATACCTTATGTTAGACTATAAAGCAAAAACACAGGAACAATATCGGCTCAGAACGGGGTTGCTTTCCGATCGCCAAGTGGTCTACCTCCAGAAAAAAAGAAGAATCTGATCATTCGTCATATCCGCCAAGCTTTGTAAGCATCAACCTCTGCTAAAGATGCTTCATAAAGCTACGCCTAAACAACATCGTCTTATTTTACAGTCGTCGTCTAACGAACTCATTTTAGCACTCTGCGAAGTAGCGCTAAACATCCTTTATGGTATGATTCCGATCAACCGACAGCAATGCCAAAAACTGAAAAGGAGAAAATCGGAAATTAAATTTCTCGCCAATAATAAAATCGGTATAACCACCAAGAAACGAGTTTTCAACAAGAACGGCAGCTTTCTTTTACCACTCCTAAGCATCGCGGTACCATTTATTTCCAGTTTAATATCGTCTAGACAGGGTTGAGCATGGAATATGCCGAGAAGATGTATCTTGTCCCCCAGAACCAGCTGGAGATGTTGAAATCCGGAACTGCTCGCGAGAACATTCAACAGGTCGTAGAGAACGATCTGGATACAGCCATAAGAAATATTTTACTCAGGACCGATATGGATCAACGTGAAAAAGCCAAACTTTACTCAAACATCCTAACGAGGTTTTTGACGATCGTTAAACAAGGCGATTGTGAGGGTGCTGTTTTAACGCTCTCGTTGCCAAATCCTGATCCCGGTCATAAAGACGATCGCGTCACTACTACCGCCCAAGATAACGAGGGTTCGGAAGATGTCGTAGGTGAAGTTCTTAAGAATGTGCTGTCGAGAAGTGTGAAAAATATTCGATAAATATTAGACAAAATGTCTAAAGCTAAAGGACTCAGCTCTTGGAATGAGTCGGGTGAATTTGTGTTTATAGGTAGAACCATACCCATTTCGCACATGCTCGATTTGTTAAAAAATGTTAAGCGTTTTTATTTATAATCAAACAAATACAATGGATAATTCAATCATGCGACATAGCGGTATTACAGGATTGCACACAATGAATACACAACAACATTTTTTCATTACAAGCAATAGATCCAAGTCTTTTCACAAAGACCGATACCATTTTATCATTTTTTATATAATCATCACTGTACAAATTCATCACGTAGTTATAGTCTCGACCCCTCGCTAGGTGATATAAGAAAAACCCACAGTGCCGAAGGGTGCGTGTTAATGATAGTCATGGCCGGAAAGGTCCTTAACGATCTTTCAGGTAGGTGATCGCTCGGAAGAACTCCGAGAAAATGAGTGTTACACTAAATTTTGTCCATGATAGCTGTGAGTTGCACCGTGTTCATTTTCTGTTCAGTAGTAATCGACCAGGACCTGTCTGCGGTTAGACAATTCTATGATACTGTCAAACACAGTGTAAACGATGAGATTAATAGTATGTGGTAACGGTTGTCTGAAGCGCACTTGAAGTCTGATATTCCCGGACTTGATGAGCGATATGTGCTGACCGCAGTCTTCGTCAGGCGTGAGGTTAAAGGCGTAAAGCGAGTAACCTTTCAGAAAATCATCCCTGTTGATAGAGAGCGCCTGATTTTTAAGATGTCTCCCGGTGTAAAGTCTGGCTGGAGAGGCTTGGCGGGAAATTGCTGTCCGTCTACGTAGACGGCCAGGAACTCCAAATCGTAATGTTTGAACGTGAACGGGTTTTTATCGTAGGATCCGGTGGATCCGGTGATATCCACCATAGCCAGGACGATAGATTTTGGCAACGTCCCCAAAAACAAATTTTCTTGATTTTCTTGATTT